GACTTCTCAAGCTTCTTTCTCACTTTCAGCAGGTAGCCCCTTTTCTAGTACCTAATCTCTTTAGAGATGTCACATTTCCTAAAATGTTATATACTTACCATGTGACTGAACCATTTCCCTCCTAGGCATTTACCCATTCAGAGAACTGAAAGGGTATGTCCACACAAACATCTATACAGAAACATTCATAGTAGCTTTATTCTTGGGAGCCCCAAACTAGGAATAACCCAAATGTCAATCAACAGCTAAATGGATAAACAAATGCTGACACACCCATACCATAGGGTACTCAGCAATAAAAAAGGAAATATTGATAAATGCAACAACACGGATGAATCTAAAATTTGTCTGACTAAAAGCAGCCACACAGAAAAAGAGTATACAGTATGTAATTCCAATTTTATAGCATTTTTGAAACTGCTAATTATATATAGTAACCCTGGTGGCTCAGACTGTTTAGAATCTGTCTCCCAATGCAGGAGACCAAGGTTGGATCCCTGGGTCAGGAAGATTCCCGTGGAGAAGAAAATGGCAACCCACTCTAGTATTCTTGCCTGGAGAATTCCATGGACAAGAAGAGCCTGACAGGCTACAGTCCATGGAGTTGCAAAGAGTTGGACTAATCCAGAACAGATCAGTGGCTGCCAGGGACCTGTCTGGGGAGCCCCTGGTAGGAATGATGAAAAAGGACCATGAGGAAACTTTTGGAGATAGCAGTGACAGATTTGTGATTACTCTGATGGTTTCTTGAGTGTACACATGTGTCCAAACTCACCAAATAATACATTTTAAATGTATTCGATCAATTATACCTCAATATATCTGTTTGTAAACCCAGGGTCACTAAGCCCATGAAGTATGCATTTCTGATGTAAAGCTCTCAGCTCCATGGGTGACTCAATCGAGTGTTCTCAATGGCAATTATCCACACACTTAAAGAGAGCCCAATATTAAACTGCCAGTAAAATGCTGATGCTTCCCATGTTTTAGTATAAATATTTTCCCTTTCAATCTCCTAGGGAGAAAATAAAGTCTATATATTAAATTACCTTACAAGTTAAACATCCAAAGGCAAAAAAAATTCAAACCCCCAAATCCATTTATCTTGCCCTCATAAGGTAAAAATCCAACAAAATTAAAATCCCTCCCAGTTTCTTATTTTGTTCATTCACAGCCAGAAAAGTTAATGCCTAGACAGATTTCTACATCAATGGCAGCCTGTGTGTTTTCTTTGGAAATGGATGCAGCCCATTTGGCACCTCAAAGGTTAAATTAGTTCAGCATCAAGTCTGTAGTGTTTCTCAATTTTTAGAAGGTCCAAAGATTTAACAGAACATCCAAAGTATTCCTAACACTTGCTTCACGCTCATCAAACTCACGCAGTGGTTATCATGGACAAAATTTTGTTCCCAGAACCCAGCAGTTGTTACTGTCAATTTATAGCAGAAATTCTATTGGAGAAAATCATTGGTATGTAGGAAGGAGGGTAACTGGGATGGCTTTAGTCTCATCAGAATGCTGGCCAGTTTATGCCAACTGTCAGGGGCCCATGCCCTGCACACGTCAACTAGACTGGAAGAAATTTTGCATCAAGAAGCTAGATTTATCACCATGCATTTAGCATGGCACACTTTATCTTCATTCTGGCATTTCAAACACTGATGCTGTCTCGCAGAGTAGAGATTTGCTGTGGAGCAGTCCCAATCACCAGCTCTCTTTTGCGGTCCTGATCTCTCCTGTCTCGTATAATCAAATATCTTTATATTCAAATTTTGCTCTTTCACACTGAATTTTATGACTGGCATGAACAATTTAAACCAGGGACTTCCCGAGACCTCTGTACTATATGCAAGTTCTCTGCCTTAGCGAAAGTTTAAAAGCAGCGAATGCTAATACAGTCAGCCATGTTTAGCACATCTGGATTTTTTCTGTCATCAAATTCTTGCCTCAGATGAAAGTTGCATTCTGGTAGCTCTTCAGCCTCTGATGAGGCCCCTGATGCTCACCCATGAATTTAAATATAGTTCAAGGTCAGACTGCTGCAGCTTGCACCCTGAGGCGGCTTGCACATGCCAGTGCCCTTGTTAATGGCAGCGCAGCCAGAGCAGCTCAATAGATCCCGTCTTCGCCAGCATCAGCCGGGCCATCCAGGCCAGCATTTGGGTGAGCCCCACGGCCACATCTTGCACCTTCAGTGAAGCCTGTGTGTCTCCGTCATTCCCCTCCCCTCCCTGCTCCTTTGTTGAGGCCTGCACTTTGCTGCTTAAGGCCCTATTATCACACCCTGTCTCTAGAAACCACCAGTTTTAAGTGGACAGTTACCCTAAACTTGAGCTCAAAAAATCCCACAAGCCTCAGGGCTTAAAGCCCCTTGCTAAAGCCACAGCAGTGAGAAGCCTACTAAACATTAATAAAAATCAAATTAATGGTTCCATATAAGCCTCTCTAAACTACCAAGATCAAAACTCCTTACATACATATTGAAGTCTGAAAGCACATGGTCTGGCCACCCAAAGCTTCTCCACTTATGTATCACGTTCCCTCACATTTCATTCCTGCTCTATTCCTTACGGTCCTGACCGGTGCCACACCAACTGGAGCCTCAGATGTTACATTCCCCCAAACACAGGTCTCCTCCCTGCTCTGCCTCCAACCTCATTCTCTCCTTTATCAACATGGCCTGTTCTTTACCGTTTTCAGTATAAAAATAGTAACTAAGGGTACCAGCTCCCTGTAGGCAGGCCAGTGAAAGTGTTCTTCACTGTCTTGTCCAACTCTTTGCAACCTCATGGACTGTAGCCCACCAGGCTTCTCAGTCCATGAAAATTCTGCAGGCAAGCATGCTGGTGTGGGTAGCCATTCCCTTCTCCAGGAGATCTTTCCAATCCAGCATTGCAGGCAGCTTCTTTACTGCCTGAACCACCAGGGAAATGCAGGCAGGCCAGGTCCTCTCCCAAACTGACCATATACATGCCATTGCCTTCCTCCCCGGGAAGTACATTAAGGACAGTAAGGCGGCCACAGGAAGGCGTGTTAGGCTACGGGTGCCCCCTTCATGAGCAAGGACACATCAGTCTTGGATAGAAGTGTTAACCCCATCAGTAATAATATACATCATAACTATTTTTAAGACTTTATTAAGCTTTTAAATATACCCCCAGTTGTCTTCCCTAATTTTCCTCATGCTGTCATCACCCTTAAATCTCTTCTCAATCCTGAAGGCTTTTCTCACAGGCCATCTTATTCACGAAACTTCTGATCTCTTCAACCAGATGAACCGTCTCTCAAAGACCAAGACCCTGATCCAGGGCTCAGAGGACAAACCACAGCAGAATCACCAGGTTGCTTGTTAGAGCATCTATTTTTGAGCCCTTCAAGGCGACTCGTCTTGGGATAGGGCTCTTGAATGTGCATCTTAAGCAGCTCTTGCAGGTGCGTCTCCGGTACAGTAACGCCTGCATCTTTTGTCTTGAACCCGATGGCCACTGATTGCTTCTCATTCTATGATGTTATTTGGCACTTACTGCCATCTGTGTTCCTTGGAGGAACTTGAATATATAGCAGCTAGTGAACAAAAAGTTAAAATGAACTTAACTAATTTTTACTCATCTTGCAAAAAGACCAGATCTCTAATGTTTTGTCCTGACATCTAGAAGTAAAACACATATGAAATCAGTATTAAGCCATTACCTATTTTACACTGCTTCACAGTCTCTTGTCTTTACTGATGCCAAATTTAGGCTGAGTTGTTCATTTTAAATGCAATATATATATGAAAATGTTAGTCACTCAGTCGTGTCTGTCTCTTTGCAACCCCATGGACTTGCCAGGCTCCTCTGTCCATGGAACTCTCCAGGCAAGAATACTGGAGTGGATAGCCCATTCCCTTCTCCAGGGGACCTTCCCAACCCAGGGATCAAATCCCGGTCTCCTGCATTGCAGTCTTCTCAAACCCAGGCCTCCTGCAATTTCCCATCTGAGCCACCAGGAAAGCCATATAATATAATGTGCTTCAAATTATTAATCACTGTTCTTCTCTGTAATAAAGAATTCCTCTTTAGTAAGTCATGTTTCCTCAGCATCTCCTATTGCACTTTTAAATGCAGAATCATCAGTAGCGTTACCAAAACCTTAAAGCAACATTGAGGTGCACCTGTTACCACTTATAAAGGATAACATTTACTATGCAATGTTTTATGATTATTGCAGTTCTTCAATTTATAATGGTGATAACCAAGCCTATCTGATTTTGCAGTGATTTCAAGGAAACAGGAGAAGCAGCACTGAAGTACTTTCCCTTGGTTCAAAGGTACCAAAAGACACAGCACTGGTAGGTCCTGTAACGTGTTCTTACATGATGCGATCCCATAGGATCTGGAAAGCTTAAGACCTGCTCTGACACTGCTAGGTTGCCATCACCCTTCAAAAAATACTATACTATGCAGTGAGTTGGCAAAAAAGTTCATTCTGGTTTTTCTGTAAGTTATAGGAAAGCCCAAAGAAACTTTATGGGCCAATCCATTACTTCCACTTAAGGGAATGATTATAAATATCAAACTGTGCTTTATGAAGACCACACTATAATATGGTGCATAGAATGTAATATGGTGTATAGAATATACATATATATATATATATAAAATATGGTGTATAGGATCAAACCCCTATAAAATGTACTGAAGATAAAATTCAAGGGGGTCTCTGCCTCCTTCAGGATTCCATAATTATAGAATTTTAAAACCATAACAGTTCATTGCTAAACTTAAACACACTTAAACGTGGCAAATAAATAAAAAGCAAATCATATATAATGTAGAGCATATATAGAAAATTTTCTTTTATAAACAACAAAAATATTTGGACATCTTATATTTAATATAGCTTAGCCATTTAGTTTATGTTGACAAGTTTAGTTACATGTTAGGAGGGACACTCCATATACAAAAGAACTCAATAGCAAGCATATATTTTAACGGTTGATTAGTCAGGCAACGACTGACTTAATTTTTTTCTTGTATTTTTTTTAGAAGATACTCCATTTGTAAATTCAAGTTTGGTTGGCCCTTTTTAGTCTTTTTGCTCAGTATTTTGAACACTTCCATTTTCTTCTTCTTGTAGAGCCTTTGGGCTTCTTCTCTCTCTTGTTTTCTCCTCTCAAATTCCTGAAATTATTAATGTATGTAATTTTCATTAGTGACAAACAGTAGATATTGTTCACAATTCTGTTGAGACAGCTATCACCATGCAAACACTTCAAGGTCTGTCCTAATTTTTCAAAATGTGAAATGCCACTAGTAATCACAGGAGTGTACTCTCTGCCTTTACACGATCATATGTGCTACAGCATAGCATAATGCAAAATTATTTAACAATTTTAATTTTGCATATGAATAAAATCAAAGCACAGAGAGAAAAGGCACATTTAATAATTTCATCATTTAATTAGATCCACTGAAGAGTCAGAAGTGACTTTACTGAAATCATTTCTAGAATATCTGGTATTCTTTTAAATTTGCCATCTGACAGATTTAATTCAAGAAGTATTTCAATTCAAGAAGTACTTACTGACTGTACACTGTATATATGTAAAATATTGTGCTAGATATTATGATTTTGATTATTTAAGAATTATCATGTTCATCTTATTTGCTAAGATCAAGACTTAAATTCATTTGCACTTAAGGAAAAATAACTCAAAGTTTTATAGATCTGAAAAATACTACTTAAAATACTATATTCTTATATATAAAAGTTCTTGAAATAATACAATATGTGCACTGTTTTTCAACTTCCCCTGTAACACATATAGCTTCCACATGACACAGCCTTACATATGTATGTATGATGACATAATTAACAAAGTGCTTTCATATACATTACATAATTATATATATCAATATACTATATTTTAATAAATAACAATTTTTTAAATGTATGTTTTACAGTATAATGGCTCTTATTTCATCTGATATACTATTTATAAAGATGGCAGTATCAGAAGATTGGTTTAAAAAGCAAAGTATACTGTAACAGTCTATGAAGCAGAGGTTTAGTTTTTCCATGGAGAAATATTCCTACTTCACTCTAGTCTGCCATCAGTTTAAAAATAATCAAATAAATTTTACATGTTAAACCTCCATATTTCTTAATTACATAATCTGTAAAACTAACACATACAAGAAATTATATGTCAGCACCAACTTGGGGGTCTTTCTGACTGACGCGTGCTAACCTTTCTAATGTGACAAATTAATAGAGCTTTAATGTAAGAAATATCAATTAACCACAGATAAACAATTTTGCTGAAGCTGCACATGGCTTTGTTCTCATTTTAAAAAAGCTATTATAATTGTGGGTTTATGAATGATAACAAAGCATGGTAACTTACTGCTAAGTTAATCTAGTAGGGTTTTTAATGAGCAAGAAAAACTCTTTAAAATATTATTTTATTCTAATACCTCCCTCTGACTTCTACTTGCTTTCATGTAAATTTATAAAAATCTATATATTTTAGTAGTTCTAAAATTTTATTATGTATAATCTCTTGAGGCAATTGTTAAAAAATGACTATTACTATCACTTCTCAAGGGTAATATAAACAATGGAGAAATCAGAATGTTGAAATTCTCCAGCTCCTCTCAGATTATTCATTTACCCAGTAAATATTTACAGATGAGCATACTATGGGCCCCATATTTAGAAGATAAGCTTACATATACACTTAGGATAAAGAAAAATGAATCGAAATATTTTAAAATGGATCTTACTTGTTTCTTAGCAGCTCGCTTGGCTTGTATCTGCTCATATTCTTCCTGCGCTTTTTGATTTGATGTTTTCTTTTTATTTTTCTTTGGAATATTAATGGAGCTTCGCAAGATAAATGAAAACAAATCATAAGTATTAAAAATAATATAACCAAAACTATGACAAAATTACATCAAATACAGTACTTATTAGTCAAATTTCACTAATTCAACTTAAGGCAGGGAAACTTAAGACATTGAAAGAAAGACATTAAATCTTGCTAGTAAGAGATCCAGATAACATTATAATTTTTGTTATACCGTTCAAGATATGAGTGAGTGAGTGAAGTCGCTCAGTCATGTCCAACTCTTTGCGACCCCATGGACTGTAGCCTACCAGGATCCTTAGTCCATGGGATTTTCCAGGCAAGAATACTGGAGTGGGTTGCCATCTCCTTCTCCAGGGGATCTTCCCAACCCAGGGATCGAACCTGGGTCTCCCGCATTGTAGGCAGACGCTTTACTGTCTGAGCTACCAGGGAAGCCCTTTTCAAGATATAGAAGGTGATTATATAGAGTCTTGGAGAAATAGTTCAACCAGGGAAAATACAGAAAGTTCTGAAAGGTCCTAAAATGTTTAAGAGTAAACCAGCATATGAATGGTAGAAATGACAGACCGCAAAGGCATTAAATTGAAGGATGTTATGAAGGACTTTATGGGTGTACATGAACTTTAATCCCAAAGTTTTCTGACCAACTTGTCTCTATTCCATTTCATTTGTTTAACTGCAACCAAATCTATGTTCTCTGGGGGGGAAAAATCCATATTAACAATAGTAGTAGTAGTATTAGTAGCAATTAACAGTCATATACCACTTCCCATGTACCAAATGCCTTTTTAAGGACCATATATAAATGAAGTCATTTAATCATCACAACATCATGAGATAGGTCAGGGATATCATAGTCTATAAATAATCCATCCTAGGGTGTGCAACATGGTAGCTGTAAATCACATACTTACTATTACTATTCCCATTTTAAAGAAAAGGACACAGGACACCAACATATTAAAGCCAACTCCAGAGTCTATGATGCACTACACTATAATGCCTCTCAAAAGCTAGATTTTTAAAAACATAAATAGCAGTGTTAACCATGGTCCAAATAAATGTACTTGAGAGGCTTAAATCTAAGACCCAGATCTCTTACTTTCATTCCATTACTTTGTTTATTAAGCTTACCTAACATAACTCAATCATTTAAGTTAACAAAAAAGCCTCCATGAAACTATTTTCACATAATCACTTGTGACTTCTGAAATGCCCTAAGGCAAATTCCCATTACTATAGAAACTGTTCTGTAATCTCTTTCATAAAATGCTACTTACATCCACAATAAAGAATTTCAAAAGACTGTAATACCTACTTTATTCTTATGCTACACTGTTCTTCTGGCCGAGGCTGCTCAATGCTACAGTGTTCTTCAGACAAAGCCTGGTCATTGCTACCTTGGTCTTCTGGCAAAGGCTGATGAACTTGTTCTTCTGACAGAGGCTGGTCAGCTTTTCTAAGCTGCTTCCTGAGTCTTTCCTCTTCAGCTAAATAAAGATGTTTCAGATGATCAGGATACCAATCTGTGAAGGGGGATTCACTTGGTGGTTGAGATTTCTTTTCCCTCCGGAGTAATTTCTTATAAGTTTGCTGAATCTTGAGTTTTCTTTGAAATGCAAAGCCTTGTCCTGTTGAAGAATACATCAGTCTTGAATTACTTTCTAAGAAAACACTGCATGAAAAATGTAGTTGTTAATTTAAAACAGAAAACTTTTTACACCATCATGTTCAGATGCTAGATTTCATTATATTTTGCTTTAAAATGTTATTTCAAGAAAAGAAGTTGAAGCTACTGGAATAAATAGTATCTTGGTCCTTTACAAAAAGACTAACAGAAGTTGAGAACTCAAGTGAGACTCTCAAAGAAGGAAAAATTACTAGAGTATTACACAACTCCAATTTATTGTACTCATAAATTAAACAGATGCATTAGTTCATCTAAACACTTAATCTAGGTCTTCAATAAATACTGAAGTGGGGGAGGGGAACCCTTACTTCTATTCGACAGTATCTGAACCGAGAACTCCCAGATGTTCAAGTTGGACTCAGAAAAGGCAGAGGAACCACAGATCAAATTGCCAACATCAACTGGATCAGAGAAGAAGCAAGATAATTCCAGAAAAACATCTACTTCTGCTTCATTGACAACACTAAAGCCTTTGACGGTGTGGATCACAACTGGAAAATTCTTCAAAAGATGGGAATACCAGACCACCTTACCTGCCTCCTGACAAACCTGTACGCAGGTCAAGAAGCAAGTTAGAATTGGACATGGAACAATGGACTGTTTCCAAATTGGGAAAGAAGTATGTCAATTATGTACATTGTCACCCTGCTTATTTAACTTATATGCAGAGTACATCACATGAAATGCTGGGCTGGAGGAAGCACAAGCGGAATCGAGATTGCCAGGAGAAATATCAATAATCTCAGATATGCAGATGACATCACCCTTAGGGCAAAAAGCAAAGAGGAACTAAAGAGCCTCTTGATGAAGGGAAAAGAGGAAAGTGAAAAGGCTGGCTGAAGATTCAACATTCAAAAAACTAAGATCATGGCATCTGGCCCCTTCACTTCATGGCAAATAGATGAGGAACAATGGAAAATAGTGACAGACTTTATTTTCTTGGGCTCCAAAATCATTGCAGATAGTGACTGCAGCCATGAAACTGAAAGGGAATTAAGACGCTTACTCCTTGGAAGAAAAGCTATGATAAACCTAGACAGCATATTAAAAAGCAGAGACATTACTTTGCGGACAAAGGTCCATCTAGTGAAAGCTATCGTTTTTCCAGTAGTCTTGTACGGATGTGAGAGTTGGACCATAAAGAAGGCTGCGGTTGAACAACTGATGCTTTTGAACACCTATGGTGTTGGAAAAGACTCTTCAGCATCCTCTGGATTGCAAGGATATCAAACCAATCAACTCTAAAGGAACAGAACCCTGAATAGTCATTGGAAAGACTGACACTGAAGCTGAAGCTCCAATACTCTGGCCATCTGCTGTGAAGAAATAGTTGACTCACAGAAAAGACCCTGATGCTGGGAAATAATAAAAAGGGGACGACAGAGAACAAGATGGCAGGATGGCATCACCAAGTTTGAGCAAACTCGGGGAGATGGTGAAGGACAGGGAAGCCTGGCGTGCTGCAGTCCATGAGGTCGAAAAAAGTCAGACGCAATTGACTTAACAACCCACTCCAGAATTCTGGACTGGAGAATTCCATGGACAGAAGAGCCTGGCAGGCTACAGTCCATGGGGTCGCAGAGTCAGACATGACTGAGAGACTTTCATTTCACTTCACATCTATTATTTTACCTTAGAAAACTACCCTATGACTGATTTTTTAAAAGTAATTCAACAATAACCAGGTTAGATGGTACTGTATGACTTTCTAAACAGCAATTATCAGTAAGATTTATGTATTCCATATGGGATTTAAGGGTACTTAATGACGGCAAGATAAAGACGAAAAATACAAACTAAAACAAAGTAATAAAGATAGCAAGAGAAAAATAAACGGTTCTGTGATATTTTTAATTAGTAAGGGTGCGAATCGGTAAATTTCTGGCTTGCCTTCTAGTCTTTACTGTAATAGATGCAGGTTTCATGGGGAAAATGTAAAGGAAAGAGTTTTGATATTTAAAAAATGAGCGTTAAGCCGAGAAAAATGTTTAAAGATTTAGAGTGAGCAACACTTCCTCACTTTCTCATCCAGAGCTCTGAAAACCCCACGGCTTCAGCGAATAGATTTCCTGGCTCCAAGTAGGGCTGGGTCTGGTTCCTAAATCCTTCCCAGCTTGGGAGGATGGCGTATCCGAAGTTTTCGCAGGGCCGAGAACTTGTAAAAGGCTGCCTTCTTACATACATACCTTCTCGAACGCTCCCCGAGAAGGCTTGCAGATGATTAGGTCGCCACGTTTTCCGTTTCACATTCTTATTTCTGAATTCAACCGGTGAAACTCCTCCACGCGTCCCCAAACTCCCTGTCCGCCCCCTTCGTGCCGGCCACACGGGCGCCATGGCACACCAACCAAGGCGCAGGAAGAACACAACTGACTCAGTCAAAATACGTCATCAGGCAGCAGCAATCCATCCGCCTACCCAAAAATCCACATCGGAGTTCTACTTATCCGGCCTTTCCTGCTTCCCACCGAGCCCTTGCCTCGCGGCCACGTTTGCGCCACCTACAGTCCGGGAGGGTGGGGCGTCATGGCTGCTTCTGGCCAGCTCCCGGTGACCCAGGACCTGTCCTCGTTACGTGCCAAGTTGCAGAAGCTGCTGCGGTTCCTGAGGGAAGCCTTGCCCATTTCTAATGCACATACGGTGGACTTCTACACGGAGTCTGTGTGGGAGAAACTGGTTGACTTGCCCCCAGAGACGGTGCTGTCGGCGCTCAGGACGTCCGCGGCGGCGTCAGAGGCGTGCCCCCTAGAGGAAGCCGGGAGAATGTCAGGTGAATGGCGGGTGGGTGGGGCGGGCCCGAAGGCTGGGAGAGACCCCGGGCCCTGGGTGGCGTGCCGGGTCGCGGAAGTCCTGCCGACGCCTGTGCGGGCGGGGAGCGGGCTCTGGCGGATCGCTGCGTGGGGAGGAGCTCAGCCGCTTTCCCGCCTCGTGGTACCGTGGCGCCTGGACTAGCCTGTCGGACCTCCAGTCTTCCCCGGGTGCTTTTGTATTTCCACAATTTAAAAACAACAAGAAACAGTGCTAGGACCTTTCTTTAGTAATTCAACAGTAATTCTTTTGATTGGAGGGAAACGCGGAACAGTGCTTACAGATTCCGTGTGAAAACACAGCAGATATCATCACCTAACGTGATGAACAGAGACATTACTTTGCCAACAAATGTCCGTCTAGTCAAGGCTATGGCTTTTCCAGTGGTCATGTATGGATGTGAGAGTTGGACTATAAAGAAAGCTGAGCGCCGAAGAATTGATGCTTTTGAACTGTGGTGTTGGAGAAGACTTTTGAGAGTCCTTTGGACTGCAAGGAGATGCAACCAGTCCATCCTAAAGGAGATCAGTCCTGGGTGTTCATAGGAAGGACTGATGTTGAAGCTGAAACTCCAATATTTTGGCCACCTGATGTGAAGAGCTGACTCATTGGGGAAGACCCTGATGCCGGTCTTAGGGGCAGGAGGAGAAGGAGACGACGGAGGATGAGATGGTTGAATGGCGTCACCAACTCAATGGACATGGGTTTCGGTAGACTCCGAGAGTTGGTGATGGACAGGGAGGCCTGGCGTGCTGCGGTTCATGGGATCTCAAAGAGTCGGACACGACTGAGCGACTGAACTGAAACTGAACCGTGATGAGTCTTTTGGATTCTTGATTAAGATCATTTCAAATGGTGATTATGACCAAGAAGAAAATGTTGTTAAGTCGCCCAGTGGTGTCCGACTCTTTGAGACCCTAATGGACTGCTGCACGCCAGGCCTCCCTGTCACTCACCGTCTCCTGAAGTTTGCCCAAGTTCATGAACCTTGCATTGGTGATGCCATCAAACCGTCTCACCCTCTGCCCTGGCCTACTGCCTTCAGTCTTTCCCAGCTTCAGGGTCTTTTCCAATAAGTCAGCTCTTTTCATGAGACGGCCAAAGTCTTGGAGCTTCCGCTTCAGCATCAGTCCTTCCAATGAGTATTCAGGGTTGATATCCTTTAAGATTGACTGGTTTGATCTCCTTGCTCTCCAAGGGACTCTGAAGAACCTTATCTAGCACCACAGTTGGAAGGCATCAATTCTTTGGCGCTCTGCCTTCTTTAGGGTCCAGCTCACAACTGTGTATGATCACTGGGAAGACCATAGCCTTGACTGTTCAGGGACCTTTGTGGGCAAAGTGATGTCTCTGCTTTTTAATATATTGTCTAGGTTTGTCATAGCTTTCCTTCCAAGGAGCAAGCGTCTTTTAATTTCATGGCTGCCGTCACCATCCGCTGTGATTTTGGAACCCAAGAAAATAAAGTCTGTCACTGTTTCCATTTTCGCCCATCTATTTGATGGGACTGGATGCCATGAGCTTCATGTTTTGAATGTTGAGTTTTAAGTCTATTCAACAATAATAGACTCTAGATCAGGATATTCACTTTTGAAATGTATCTTACCCTATTAAATTTTTTTTATGTAAGATAGTCAATTCTACAAATGATCAGCTGCCTCTAGTATTAAAAATGATTTTTATAATGTATGTTTGTAAAATAATATTAGCTTTTGTTTGTGTAAAGATTATGAAAAGATGGACATTTTCTCCATTGTTATATGAGATTTATTGTTTGTGACAAAGAAGTGCATTTATGGCTCTTTGACCAGATTTATATCTTACTAAAGAATTGATAGCCACTCTGTAGGGTGTAATTTAGCTGTTAAATTTTTAGACTGTTTAGTCATACAGGGTACAGATTCCAATTCTACCAGCTCTGTTATCTCAGAGAAGTTTGTTCATTCATTCATTCAGGGAACATTTACTTAGTGCCTGCTCTGCGCCAGTACTTTTCTAGGAGCTAGTTTCTGTGTGGAGGAGGTGCGGGTGGAAGCAGGATGACAAGCCGGAAGGCTATTAAAATAGTCCAGGATGGACTTCGGATAATGGCCAATTGAAGAGATCAGGCAGTTTCTCCAGCAGATAGCAATGACAAACACTGGCTAGATTATTAAAGACAACTATTGGAAGTATCTAGAAAATGACCAAACAGGGACAGAAATATGAGAAGAGTTTGTCTTGAGAGATTGCTACTGATTGGAAAGAACTGTTGAATTCATGACTTTCTTGCAAGGCGTCAATGGAAAATGACATCTTTCCCAGCCCAAGATGGTCATGACAGAGTTCAAATCAGAGCAGATGGGAATTGAAGAAGCGCCTTCTGGAAGGAGGGCCACAGAAGGACTGAGATCTAAGATATGAATGGAAACCTGAATCACCAGACTTCACACATCCACCCACATGCCGACCCAGAGAGTCCCACAAAAACACTGCCAAAGCTAGGGTATGGTGACCCCTGGAAAGACAGAGCTCCCGGGGAGATGTACAGGCTTGCTGCAACTTTGACAGAGTGTGTTCCCGAAAGTGTACACCGCTTGGGTAGCAAAAATCGAAAGCCTGTTTGAATTCCTGTAGCAGAGGGCAGAATTCGGGGCTGGTGGGATGACTGGAAACTTGGGCTGGGTCGTCTTGGGAGCAAACTTAACCACAGAGAGATTGAAACTCCCTCCCCCCTCCCCCGCCACCCCCAGTCTGACCGTCATGTGTACCCAAGTCTTCATCTGCCTTCTGAACTGGGCAGGCCTGGGATATGCTGGGGAGAGGGTGCTGTAAATCAGCAGCTGCGCAGAGACGCTGGCTGCTGCATGGGGAAGGGCAGACAGGTTTCAGCATGGGGCCAAGCAAGTTCACTTCTCTTAGTACCGCATCCGAATCCTTAGAGAAATAAAACAGATCCCCTGCAGTAAGTTATCCACAGTGCTGCTTTTCAACCAAAAACTGCTCTGTGCAGAGAAAAAGTGTGAGTCCTGCTCAAAACACTGATTGCACGTGAGCCCTGATGCTCATTGTAAGTAGCTGTGTTCAGAGAAGTAAAAGTGTGACCCAAGGCGGGGAGAATAAGTTAATGGGAGCTGACCCTGATTGGGCTCAGATGTTGGATTTAGGTGGCTATTATAAATAAGTTCAAAGAAGCAGAACAAAGTAGCCTGATAATTAAAGGGAAACACAATAATTGTATAACCTCCCTTATAATTCTTTTAGTTGGAAGAGTACACACTCATTGACCCATAATTATATTAATATTACACAGTGTTACACGTTATCTGTTGCTGATAACACGCTCACACACCGTTTCTGTGGGTCAGCAATTCAGGAGCAGATGGACTGGTGGATGGAGCTTAGGGTCTCATGGTTTCACAGTCAAGATGTTGCAGTTGCTGAAGGCTTGGTGGAAGTTGGAGAGCTTGCCTCCACAGTGTCTCACTCACAGAGGTGACTGGCTGGTACTGCCTGTCGGGACATGGCCTCTGCCATTCGGCTCGCGAGCTTCTCCCTGGGGCTGCTTCCGTGGGAGCTGCTGTGTTTGCACATGTTTTTGTTTTTGTCTGTGCTCAGGATCGTGGACTTGGCCTGGTCACAGACTTGGTCTGCTGTGGGGTACTGTACATGTTTTCACGTTTCATAGGGAAGCGTGTGGTCTGTGCCACTGCCAGCCCGCTATGAGTACTTCTCTGTCACAGCTGATTGCCATTGTAATTTTTTTTTCCTTTTTCAAAGGAAAATTACCTATCTTACAAAGGTGTAGTAAAGATGAAAGATGATGTGATCTGGCTTCTGATACAGAACTGGGAATATAGCATGGATTCAACAAATTGTGGCTAATAAATGATGAGGGTTGTGGTAATGATGATTGTGATGGTGATGATATAATTAGGTCTTTCTAAGAAAAAAAATAGATTGTCAAGAACCTCTGGAAATGTATATGCTCCTATAGCAACCTGTACATTTCATATATTAACATGTCATGTGGTTTTCATTGTCCACTGACTTCTCTGTCTCAGTTAGATTAAAAAACAAAAGTACAGCATTTGCCTTTTTTGTTTTTGTGTTCTTAGCACATTGAACAGTTTCTGGCTTATAGATGAGTAAATTATTCTTAAAGAATGAAGTGAAGCATAGATCTATAAAGAATGTTATGGAAGGCAGTTCTGGAAATATGGTACTGAACTAGATAGCTGTTATTTCTTATATTATATTTATCATCATTGTTTTTATATGGCTTATCCCAACTAATAGGCTTTATAACTTAACTTGAGAAAATAGAAAACAGTAACTATTCTTTCCCTCTGTGAAAATAAAGTACTTGATTCAATACACTGAAGATTACAGAAAGATACCCTGGGAATCTGGGGATAAAATCAAGGCAGGCATCATTTCAGGCTAAAATTTTTTAAAGTTTATTACATATATAGGTGAGATTAACCATCTGCAGGAAAAGAAAAATCAGTAGTGATACCTTGTAAGTACTTTACTAATAAACAAGTGTT